TTAGATTTAGAATGTTAGTTAGAGGACATCTTAATTATTTCTTAATAGATTAATAAAGAAGGAGAAGCTAATATAGTTATTCTTCTCTTCTTAAGTAGGAAGATAGTTTCTTTTATGTCTTCCTCGAGTCCTATGCGTAGATCGATAACTTCTTTATCTCCTAGAGTAAGGGTTGCTATTATCTTGTTAGAAATTAATTAGAATAGCGATTAAGAGATTCTTACTAAACTTAATGCGTCTATATAGTGTCTACGTTCTATTAAGGATCTCTTACGGTTCGAGTCTTAGAGTTAGTAAGGTAGACTAATTTCTAGTATTTGGCAAAATAGCTTTAGTAGTTATTATAGTGGATTCTTACTAAGTTAGTTCCTACGGCGAAACGCTAGGATCCTAGTTTTAATAAAGATAAGGTTATAGAAGACCCTATCTTAAGGCCTAATGCCTTAAGACTAGAGCTTAGCTACTAGATGAAATTGTAGAGGGGACTAATTAAATTCAATGAGGCGAGAGCCTCGGCTATATAGCAGTCTTAGCGGCACTTGCCGTGAGATCTATGAAATAATAACACTTTGGCCGAGGATAAAGGGTCACCCTGTCTATGTACTCTTGCCTCCATCATCTGCTTCATGAAATCTCAACAGTATCGATTAGGAAGTTGTGATAGCTTGATTGACAACCGTATATCTCAGGCGACTGACCTTCAGCGCTTCCGTATAGTCGCAGCTGTCGATGATACGTGTTAGACGTATCATGGCCGTCAACAAGCCTGTATCTTTGACTGGCTTTCACATAGTCTATCATTGAAAAAACATATTTGGGCAATATACCGGTGTCCAGACATATGATCGATACAAAAGCCCTAGCAATGGATATTTCAAGATTCAATAGATTGCATAGGTATATAATAGAGGTCGAATTGCAGTTCGTCATGTCGTGATATCGTCGCCAACCTTTACAGCACTTGCTGCGGGTATCACCCTGCCCCAGATATCGAGCTCCAGCACTTTGTGCTTCACAAACATTCCACCAGGTAGTGTCGAGTGGCAGGAGTTTAGACGAGGTTCATACGTCCGTCCGAAGCTGCGTTACCTTCACGCTTGCTCTTTCACACAGCATGAGCCGCGTCAAAGGCCTGTGCCTTGCGTTGTTCCCAACTTTTGATCATCTCAAACAAGTCCTCGCCATCAGCCATCCTCGAACCTGTCCCAGCAGTCGCACGTATTGATGGCTCGCAAGATTCTGCGCTGGTCGCTACTGTGTCGTGATCAAGCACCTTCGTCGTCCGTCCCTCCTGCCTCGTCTCTACCGGTACACTCTTGTCTGTTTTCGTAGCATCTCTCCGCGGCCTCCCCTTCCTAGGTTTCGTGCGTGCAAAGACAATCAACTCTTCTATGCTCGTTTTGTCCACACCGGCTTTGTGTGCGCGAGACGAGAGCTGGCGTATTGCGCTTTTGGACACGCCGGTCTTTGCTTCGACGTCGCTGTGGGAGGCTTTGAAGATGAGGTACATTATTAACGCGGCGGCGCGCTTTTCGTCGCTGTATTCGACTCCTCGTGGCATGGTCTGGAGTTGGAAAAGTGTTGTGATTGCGTGGTGATCGTGGTCTTACTACAGTTGCGATAGATTGCTTCAACAATGCTAGAAAAAAACAAACGCTATATTGTGAAGACACAGAACTTGCTTCAACAATTGGGGTTGTGGTCTAGTGGTATGACATCTTCTTAGCATTGCTCTTCGGGCATTACTGAGTTGGAGAAGGTTCTGGGTTCGATTCCCAGCTACTCCATTTTTGCTCACGCAGAGCTTACAGCCAGGGCTTCAAAGCTCGTCCTTGTAGTAACACATTTTTGTTCCTATAGCGCTTCAATGACAACTCCAGCGGACTACATCAGTTGCTGTAGAGGGTCTCGCGTCGCGCCAACTACTTTTTATGGTCATAGACTCGAGCCAAATAACACAAGCAAGAGAGGAAGATGGTTAAAAAGATGTTTTAAAGGGTTTGATTGACAGCAAGCAGCTGCGGATGATATGGGCCTAATAGCCTGGATCATTTTGGCACTCTGCCATTGGTATACTACAAAAAAAGGTTCTAGGGATTATAAAAGCTTGAAAGAGGCATGCATTGCCCTGTAAAGAATCAAAAAGAAGAAGCAAGGCGCTGATGCAATACTTGAGCGCTGCTAAGAGGAAGAATTGGTAGAAAAACCCAAAACAAAGAATTCCCCTCAAGTCCCAAATCGTCGGTCATGGCTGTTCCGCAAACACCCTTTTACGCCAAAAGAAATAGAGATCCCAGATGAACCCCGAAATATAAAGAAAGAGCCAAAATAGAGACCCGAAAGATGTCGTACAATGCTTAGAAAAGAGGAGCCTTGACGTCCTGAACACCACGTTTAATGATGTCCTCGAGCTTCCAGCGAGGTGGTTGATATGTGGGAGTCTTGCCCTTTGCGAGATCGTCACGGTGTTCCATTTCCTCGACGTTCATCAGGCCATCTGGAATTGGTTCTCTGCCACCAGCAATACCGCTGCTGAACTTGAGTTGCAGGATGTCGCCAGTCTGGTCACAAGCTGCGAGCAGACGGTCCAAATCATCCTTGGTGTGAGCGGCAGAGACACAGAATCTGGCGCGGGAAGAGATGAGTGGCGTGGCAGGGTATCCGACGACAACGACAGCAATCTTGCGCTTGAGCATCTCATGCGAGAAGGCGGGGATCTTGGCGGGGTTGTACAGGAGCAGAGGAATGATAGGCGAATCGTCGTGGCCGTAGATGATGAAGCCGAGGCGCTTGAGTCCAAGGCGAAGGTATCTTGAGTTGAAAGCCAGTCTCTCGAGACGCTCTTGACCTTGTCCAGGAGCAATTTCACCAATGATCAAACGAAGAGCCGACGAAATCTGAACCAGGACGGGAGGAGAGGGAGCCTCACCAAAGAGAGTTCCAGCGTTGGTCACACGAAGCTTGTCAATGAGAGCCTTGTCACCGCAAACGTAGCCACCGTTTGCGCCAAATGACTTTGTGAAGGTGCCCATGAGGATGTCGACTTCGGCAGGATCAACACCAAAGTAGTCGCAAATACCTCTACCTTGTGCACCAAGAGCACCGATGGAGTGAGCCTCATCGATGAACAAGTTGAATTTGTACTTTCTCTTGAGAGCGACGATTTCAGGGAGGTTGCACATGGTGCCTTCCATAGAGTAGAGACCTTCAACAGCAACGAGAATCTTCTTCCAGGGACGATGAGTGCGGGGCTGGCCTTGGGAAATTCTCTCGCGAAGAACACGCTCCAAATCGTGCATGTTGTTGTGCTTGAACATGTCGATGACAGCGCCCGAAAGTCTGGCACCGAAGCGAATGGAGGAGTGGTTGAGCTCGTCGGAGATGATAAGACAACCCTTTCCAACAAGAGCAGGGAATGTAGTGGCGTTGGTACCGAAACCCATGGAGAAGATCATAGCTGACTCCTTTCCAACAAACTTGGCGACCAGGTTCTCGACCTCGACGTGAAGCTCAGAAGTGCCAGCATCGCCTCTGGGACTGGCAAAGCTGACACCGTACTTTCTGGTAGCAACTTCTACAGCGTCTGCGCACTCTCCCTCAGACTGGGCGAAACCGAGGTAGTTGTATGAACTCATGTTGAGGGTCTCGGTGGTAGTGCCCGTCATCTTGAAACTCAGGTTGAAGTCATCAGACTTGCGGTCGAGCAGAGTGATGAATCTACCGGGCACTCCAGTAATGGGGCGTCTGAAGCAGTCGTTGATGCGCAGCTGCAGTCTGCGGATGTAGAAGTTATCGAAATCGCTGTTGAGCGGTGCATATCCGTCTCGTGCTGACAAGTGCTTGTACTGCTCCTGCTTGAAGCGCTTGCCGAAGAAATCGCGCACGTGGCCGAAAATGATGAGAACGAGGTAGCTGATGTAGGTGGTCAAGAGGAAGTAGTAGGGCGGAGTGTCCTCAATGGGTTCGGGGAAGGCTTGTCCATCGTGACGACTCGAGTAACGGTGCTCCTGGGAGCCAATGGGACCAAAAGCGGCGTGTGCCCTTGCAATGCGGCGAGCCTCTTCAGGTGAAGGGGGCTGGAAAAGGGTCATTGGCCTCTCCTCGATCTTGCTCTTCTCGCCAGTAGCGGTTGTGAGATTGATTGTGGGCAGTGACAAAGTGGCGCGGTTGACTTGAGGCGAAGGAGGGCGGCGAGTGGCCTGCTGAGGGTTCGGGTGCAGAGAGGAGGCCTTGGGCGAGGAGAAGAAGTTGGCAATGCGGTTGTTGGACTTGGTGGCAGGCGACTTGGAGTTCTGGAGAGAGGCCTTTTCGTTCAAGACATCGACCGAGGGTGAGGGAGAGTTCGCGACAAAGGGATTGATGGTGCGTATCGGCATGGCTTGAGGAAGCGTGCTCCTGCACAATTAGGGATTAGAATTATGAGCGGTAAGAAAAAGGCAGAAGTGCGAGCGAGCAAGGCCAGGCACGACAAAACGACACGCAGGACGGACAATTGAGAGGTTGGGCAGGGCAAACGATGAAATCGGGGGCTTGTCATGGCTGATTAAAGGGAAACGGCCATGACGGAACGACCTCATTGCGCGCCAAGAAGGACCCTCGGAACGTGGCGGAGAAGCCATCCTGGAGCCTTTTTTTTGCAATTTGTTTTGCTGCGCGCGCCGACCAACAAATCGTGATGTGCCCTTAGCATTGCTTTGCCGTGCCCAATGGTGCCTGCAATTGGTTGCCTCGCTGCCGAAATGCAGCGGTCATGCAGAATCGAACAAGAACTCTGCCTATCGCAACACTGACGTACCTGTTGCGGTCAAAGCCACGATACTCGTCCGACCGACAGTCGAAAACCAAATCGCAGACGTTGTTGTCACAAAGCCAATCCGACGCCTCTTGCGCGTGCTGTGCCTGGCGATCGAGCTGTCGCCGAGTGTTGTATAGGAAACGGATGTATCGACGGATAGTAGAGGAGGCCAAAGGTTCAAGATTGCGAGGTGCGCCGAGTATCAATGATAAATACTGCTCGCCAAAAGCGATGGTCAGGGCGTTAGCAACCAACAGCTCTTTGATTATTGGGAAACGAAAACCCTCAGGGGTCAACATGTCAACCACCCGGCACTCGGGTTGCTTTTGCGCCGATTTTAGCGCCTCTCGCTCCGATCGCTCTCATTTGCCTCTCTACTTTGACCATTATTCGAAAAGTTATTCTCCGACTCTGTTAGGCTTAACGTGAAATACTGTGACATTTCCCTTTAACGTAGAAAACAAACAGTCCTTCTTGGTGGTCACAGACGATATGCCAATATACAAACAGATCCCGAGCGGTTCCAGCAACAGGTCTGTTGACATTGTATGAGTCTAGCCTGCGTTTCACGGCATCCGCCAAAGTGTCAACAAACCATGCAGGCACCCGCCGCAATCATACCGACGGCACATTCAGAAACGTTGGAGAACACAATTTGACCATCTCCCTCCCACCCAAGTTTCGAATTGAAGAAAACTCTACCCTCGACGCTGTCACACAACGTTCCAAAACAGAACCTTTGCAAATTGCGAAATCCCAGAGTCATGTTGATCTGACCCCATAATCGTAGGGGTCCCAGTACGTGCCTGGGACCCCGACATGTCTCGTGAATACCTAAAACACTTCGTCGCTAGAGGTTCATTGGAGCAGGAAGCTGGAAACTAAAGGTACATACAGACGCAAAGGCAGAGGTAGATGCAGGGTAATCGCCTAGGCAATCAACACACCTCCTTGACGGACTTAACTCCTTCAGCGAGTGCTTTCTCTAGCTTGACCATCACAATGCACATCGCTTTTTCAGGTAGGGTCCCATCCAAGGAGAGCTGCAATTAGGCATGTCGTGATGAACTAGGCATACATTGGTATATGTCTAATCGCGCTCTCACGACAACATGGAGCCTCGTTGTAGGCTATCAGAATGCACGATTGTGTGTACACCAGAGTTGCGTCCAAAGAGATCGCTCAAACTTCTGAGATGCTTTAATGCTTCTTGAAGGTGTTGTGTAGGTGTCTCTGCGAAACGATTCAAAGCAGAATGGCGGTGTTTGTGGAGATGAATAGAGACGAAGAAAGACAACGCAGGTCTCAACTGCCTTCACATGGAGTATGCAGAAGGAACGAAAGCTCATTTGCTTGTCTGTCTTGCTAAATTCAGACAAAGTGAACTCAAGGCAACCACGCTCTTCTGCGTTTGCTCGCAGCTTCCTTACTGCTTCCTATCTCTTCTCTTGGCCACGACAAAGAAAGCGCTTTCATCCTCTCACCTTCACTTCCATCAACTTTTATCACGTTTCTCATCAAGGCACCAGTCTTGCTCTTCGCAACTTGCGCATCATCAGCCCATCTTTTAAGACAGCACATCAGATTCTGCTCGCATGCTTCCTACGATGGGTGACACCACCACCGCCATCGTCTGGTACGCTGTTTTTCCATCAGGCCCTGCTCTAGTGCTACGCTGACATCCGCTGTAGGGGCATGCCTGTTAACCCTGCAGACTTCCTCTGCAAACTCGACGCGTTCCGCAAAGCTCTTCCAACAATAAACAGCCTTCGCTTGTGCAACCGATTCGGCAAAGGCGAGAACACTGGAATAACAAAACTTCCCAGAGAGCTTATCGGATTCATCGAAGACGAGCTCCTCGAACTGCACCGTGAACACGAGGAAAACCGCCTGTATGGATGGAGCAAAACATATTGTTGCTTCGAGGGATCGTGCCGCCCAAGTGATCACCTGGATGGCGGAGATCTGGACATGTATGAAGACGTGATCGAAAGTGCTGAAATCGATCTTCTCAAAGCACACCCTGAGTGGAGCACAGCAGACGGTCTGGACTTCCCTGCAGACTACCAGGATCTTCTCGATGAAGAAGTGGCCAACCGTCTCGACGAGTACGCAGATGAATATATGTGGGAATTCTGCTTTCAGACCAAGATGGAATGGGAGGCAAAGACTCGCAAGCACATGACTAACAATGGTAACGATGATGTATGCTCGTTGTTGGGGAATTGCAGAGTCTGCAACTGACCGGAACTCCAGATCTTGCGCAAGCAATTCGGACTCGAAGCTTTCATCATGCACGAGAACCTCGATGATTCAACCATCACATATCTGAAGGACAACGTTGAGCGCTTTTCTCACAACAAGGCCTGTCCCGAAAGAGCAATGATTTGCTATCTGATCTTGCCAACGCAGAGCGCACAGTGGAAGTTGCGCCTTGATCCCATATGCAGAGAGAATGGAGATTACGTTGGCGAATCCGCAAGCTCCATGTTAGTTGACCGCGACTCCTTGGATCTGACCGAAGAACACCGAAAGCGCTTCGCTCAGGCAATGCTGCGCCTAGCCTTGAAACCCTCGGTACACCCATCCCAGCTGTATAAAACTCTCTCGGCAACCTCTTCCATGGCCGATTCCTTATTGAGACAGGTTCCTTTGCCAGCTGGAAACGCGAATGCATCTGCCGAGGAGAGGAAGAGAAGAGATGCCATCACCACGAAACGTATCGAAGCCCTAGACAAGAGCCAATGGCCAAAGCTGATGTTTCTTGTCAACACGAACTGCTGCGAGTTCTGATCACAGATCTTCGGCTACACGAACAATAGCACTGCCAGCAACAAAACGAAAGCTTTGTTTTGTTCGACAATCATGTTGGACCATGGATCGCATTGCTGTCATTGTGCCTCAAGCGATTATTCGTCTCAAAATATAGCTGTATAGCTTACTATATAGCATCTCCTCTCAACTTTGCTCAATGAAAAATCAACATGTCTATCAGAATTTCTATTGTCAAGAGAAGTGCCAAAGTATCAACCCATGCATGCGACACTATATTGATGTACGATTTGTGACATCGAGCTATCAGCATACACATTCACTCTCAGACCACGCATGAGCATTAGAGAGAAGTGCAGAGACTGGTAGCCTCATGTTATCTTGCTATACGTCCAGACTGTCTGGCATTTCTCAAACACACATATGGACAGGAGTAAGTGAGCGAATAAAGTCCGTATTTTGCGAGCGTCATTATCGTGACAAAAGTGTAAAGAAGAAAACTCAGTACTACAAAGACAATGATGAGGCATCTAGAGGTAAAGAAGAGCAAAGAAGAGAAAAAATCTCGTGGAAGAGCAATATCAAAAAACAAGCGCTGCCTTCTAAGAAGAACAAGAACAAAAACAGACAAGAAAACATCGTGTGTCCAGATGTGGTCTACTAGACCAATTGATCCAGACATCGCTAATTGAAGAAGAAAGGTGGTCGTAAGAAGAAGGTGTAAAAAGGGAAGATTCATCAAAACGTCTCGCCTACATCAGACCAGGCGGCCTCGGTGCCGTCGTCTGAGACACCTATTGCTCGAACTTTGGCGCCAAAGCCCTTGCCAGTACCTCCGTACGCACTATCGTCAGGCGATTCACGCTTGGTCGTGCGGACTTTGGCATAATACGCCATTCGGGCATCGGGCTCCTCATCGTCAGAAGCATCGGTATATGTCTCCCAATTCTCAGAGCCAGACACGGCTGAACTGGCAGTTTCAACGGACGAGGCGTTGGACGTTTGTCGGGCCATGGCTGGTGCTGGCGGTGCAGCAGGGTATTCGAAGCGTGGTGAGGGTCGCGGTGCCGCTGCTACATGATGTTGCGTGGCTTGGGACGCCGGACGTGAAGAAGCTGTAGATTGGAATGTGCGAATGGAGCGCAATGAGCTGCGGTCACTGTAAGGGTCTTCAGGGCTCATGTGACGTATAATGCTGCCGCTACGCTCGAAGGACATGTCGGCGTTATTGACTGGACATGGGGTCTCGGGGGGTGAGAAGAAATCGCGTGACAAGGGCATGGGTCGCGGTGGTGGGGCCATACGGCTGCGAAGAGTGCTGCTGTCCGACTCTGTTCTACAATGACCCAAAGGTCCAGGTGGAGGGCGACGTGCGGTTGAATTGCCAGCTTGGAGCATACTGCTCAGGGGCTGACGGCCTGGAATCTTGGATGGACTACGGAGACTAGCCGGACCGACCGAAGCTGCAAACGAGGAGTTAGACGATGAATTGGACAAGGGAGGACCCATGACAGACGAGGCCAAAGGATTGCGTGAGGCGGTAGGAGTCTTGGATCGAGGAGGACCACGCAATGTCTGGGTTTTGATGGCGGTGGTTGGAGCGGCAGCAGCTGCAGACTTGGGACGGACAGTCGAAGGCGGGATTGACGACGGCGTCTTTGCGCGAGGAGGAATCGATGGAGTCTTGGATCGCACCGAACCTTGGGTTGCCGGCTTTTGCGAAGTGGCCTCGAGCTCGTCCAGGTAACGTTCGCCGTGGACAAGGAAGGGACGCCCGTACTCTTCCTCCCACTCTTCGAGGATCTGGCGTAAATCACTCTCGACCTTGGGCAGCTCTTTGGCGATACGCTTGCGCATCTTCTCTTCTCGCAAGAGACGGGTAGGGTCACGCTTCTCGCCCTTTTGACCACGAAGCATCAAGCGAGAGGCATCCTGCGAAGAAGCGGCCAGATCATCGCGATCCTTGACCAGCGAGCGGTACTTGTCCACCATGGCAAGGGTCGGCGCACGTTGCTCTCTGAGTGCTTCAAGTCGAGCGATCTCGGCCTCGTGAGCCTCGAGGAGCGCATCCGAGTAGACATCTGCTTGGTTGTTAGTTGCTTGGGCATATTGAGTCACCGCCCAACTCACCTGAAAAGGCTGGGGTAAACTCGAGCATCTCTTCTTCGGAGAAGTAAAGACCATCCCAAAGCTCCTGTAACTTGAATCTCGCATCTTCGACAAACAGGTGTAGGTTCTGGCGTTTCAGCTCGTTCAGACGAGCCAGCTCATCCTCGAACTCGTTCATAGCGCGCAGACCACAGCCTCTGTTACTGGCCAAGAAAGGTTTGCGCTCACTCTCTTCGACACCCAGCTTGTCCCATAACGTCTCAACCGCCTCTTTGAGCTCTTCAAGTCTGATCTCACGATTGCGTTTCTCGGCCAGCAGCTTTTCCTTCTTGCTCTTCAGTCGGTTCAGATCCTCAAGGTGTAGGCCCAGTTGTTCGGGAGCGTTACGAGCGTGCTTAACAATGGCGCTGTCGATCTGGGCTTGAGGAGTACCGAGCTCACCCCAGAGCATGATAATCTCCTCTGCCAGAGTTTGTACTGTGACTAGACGCTTGTTGTATTCTTCGTAGACGCGGGTGAAGGCATTGTCCAGAGAGGTGACGTACGAGGGCGAGACATCGAAAGATGGAGAAATCTTGGAACTGGGCGAGGTGTAAGGAAGTTTGACAGTGACAAAGGCGGGCTCGAGGTGCGAGGCATAGGATTCGAGCGCTTCGGCAAGCTCTACAGACGGGGTCAGCAAACAGAAGGCTAACAGGGAAGCTGGTGAGTCCAACTTTTGATCTGATCGTAGCGTTCGCGGTGGATCATGGAAACGGTATTGTGCTTGTCTTTGAGAGACGTGATGCAATCGCGCAGTGGGAGGGTGATGGAGAGATGTTCATCCTGATAGTCGCTCTCGCGGTGGGACTTGTCGTCGACCAAGGCGGCCTCGATCTGGCGAATTGACTTGATCAGGCGACGGGCCTCATCTGTCAAGTCATGTTTCTCTCTGGCAGCGCACGTACGTCAGCACTGTGTGGACGATGAACGCGCATGGTCGATGGGGCAGCTCACTTTGCGACCAGCTTGAGCTGGTTGTTTAGTGTTTCGGACAGAGCAGCAAACAGCTCCGACTCTCGCTCGTGTCGTTCATGTGTGGGAAGACCAATCTCGTCAAAGAAGCCATGCAGTTGGTCGATGATGGTTGTGACTTGGTGCGACAGATGACCAGTGTCCATGTTGTCGGCGGAGGAAAGGGCTGCCGGCAGCCTGTCAAGGAAAGAGCGAATGGCCAGACCAGAGCGTCAACTGTCGGTGTTTGAGGGCATGTACTAGAGTCGCAGCTTCTGCTTGTAGTATGTCACGGTGCTCGACGAACGATTCGGGTGCTGCGTGCCTCGTTCACGCCAGTGTCGGCAGTCTGGAGTAGCGTGCCGAGAGATGCAACGACAATCTTCTGCAACTGCAATGCCCTGAGGAATGCTCCTAGATACCTGTCACTGCTCTCTATCGCTCTTCCGCTGCTCAAGACGTCAATCTAGACAACAAGACAAGACAAGAGATGTAGCAGTCATCGGCCCCAAACCACTTGTCCATCCACTGTACTTAACAACCAGACTTCGTCTTTGTTGTTTGGTACGCTGCCGCCGCGTTGCCCAGCAACCGCCTTGCACAACCTCCACCATCCAAGTTCACACATCAAGTCCCTCGCCGAACCACAGCTGAATCCTACATGGCTGTCTGCCGCCCCTTGCTAATTCATGCCTGGAGTCAATTCAATTCGCCATGACCTTCTGACTTGTCTGTACTTCATGTGTTACACGTCCCGTTCCTCCGCCGGAGGGTCAAGGGCCAAGCGTCTGACTGTGGTCGTCTCCGAGTGGCCTCTCGCAACCAATTCGCCTACCAACTTTGTATACCAGGAGAGCATTTTCTCGCGAGAGCTGCCATGTTATTGCACTTTTTCCGCTTGGGCCTCGAGCCTGATATTCTCCTGCTCGTCCTTCATAGTGCCTGACGGCTGGGGTCTGGAAAACGATGCCTCTTCGTGCCAAGCTGTCACCATGTCAAAAACCGTCGCGTGTCTGCACAGTATCTTGAGATCCAAGCGAGCTCGAGGCAAAGTTGTCACGTCCTAGATGGTGGGAGTCACGCCCTTAAGAAGTGCTGGCCAAGGCCTTGGCTCGTGACCGCTCTTTTCTGGTTCTCCTATACGAAAACTCCCCAAACCTTCAGCAGCTTTTGGGATTGAGCGGTGAAATCGCGCATTGTCACCGCAGTCTTG